TCTTCTTCATTTTCAGTCATTAATTAGTCGAATGCCTTCCTACTAAATTTTAGTGGTTCGATTATTCGTATATGATTAAAAATAATGATATATATACACGAGGAATATCAAATTTAAAATTTTAATCGCTATGGATTTTGAAAAATTACTATTGTATCAATTGATTTTGTAATGATATCAAGAAGAAAACTTAATAGAAAACTCATGAAGGTTCAATAATACATAATTAAAATTTTATATTATGATAAACTCTTAAACAACTTGAAGGGGTTGATCTAGTTTAAAATATAATTTATTTTTATTTTTTTATTTCTTATCGAAAAAATAATCAATATACATCTAAACTTGAAACTTATTGACGATGTGAGGATTCTCGGATTACCATTATTGATGAGGTGGCTCACATTACTAGATTGATCGTGTAGTAATTTCAGCTTGATGAATATTGATTTAAGGATGAGTACCAACGTTGTTTGATAGTTGTAGGACCTTCTAATGGTTAGATTAACTTACGGAGAGAGATGTGTTTAATTTAAATAGACTATTAAAAGATTAATTCTTGTTTGTAGTGATAATATAACTATCTTAAACTAATAAGGCAAAACCTGTAATTTTTGACACATTAGCTTTTAGATAAGAAAAGATGTGATTAACTTGCATGGGATGGAGGATAAAAAATATCTCCTTTCTTATGCTCAACATCCATTTCGGAGGATTTGGATTCTTTTCATGTAATATTTGTTATTTGATGGCACATGTATAATCATAATTGGTAATGATATAATATTAATATTTTACAAAATCATTTCTTCATTAAATAAATATTTTTTTTCCTACCAAGTAAGTAGAAATACACCTTTTTAACTTGGATCATTTATCTATGCTGATTCTATAGGATTTGTGTGGTTATGATGGCCACTAGCAACCTGTGAGGATCACCTTAATAGAGATAAATTTTTGTCTGGATGCTATTTAAGTGAAGTATAATGACACATGCCATAATTACGATCATATAGATATATCATTTATGATATGAGAACGAAGGAGATGAAAGACTGTTGACGATTAAAAAATCAATGGCCCTGATTAAGTTTTTTTAATTTTTTTTCCTAAGAGAAAAGCAAGGAAAAAGAGAGAGATGTGATTACGATTTTCTATTGATATTGATTAATTATCAAAAAAACGAAAACGAGAAAAAGAAGAAGAAAGAGTAAATATTATTGAATCACATGAAATGCATATCGTATGCACCATTCTACTATTTTATGCTCCAAATCCTGATTCAGGATGAAATGCATTGAAAAATATATATTCTTACTGCCAACTATTTTTACAATATAATAATTAAATGGTTACTATCAAAGGAGGGAGGCAAAGAAACTCTTGTGTTTCTTTTGTGCCTACTGCCTAAACAACTTAATTGTAATCGAAATAATAATAATAATAATAAAGATGAGTCCTCTTCTAAGTTGTATCAAATTCAATGCAATACCTAGTTAATTAACAAACATAAATAAATAAAATTATGATTAGAATGAAAATAATTTACTGCTTAAGATCTTGGTATCAAACTTAAATTAAATTGCCATCTCAAATGCATGAATAAAACTATTCTCTGTAATTATTATTTCTTTAAAAAGAAACACATAAATAATTTTTATACCTTGTAAAACTTAACTATCAATTTAACTAGGTTGTTGATGTGGCCTGACAAGAATGGAGGACTAATGTTGGCACAACACCTTAAAATGAATGTAGAGCTGGCAAATGCAACTCAATTTATATAGTTTTATTAATAATTATTTTCAGGCAAGAGAAGAAATAAATGAAAAACTAGCTCATGTATTATTATTTATTTTATTATTCCTATGAAATTGTATTTTAGGACTAGTTAATTTGGACAATTCAAGGGTAATTCATTTTTCTATTTACATAAAAAAAAAAAAACAAGTCTTTTATATCAAAATTCAAAAATTTACAAAAAATAAATAAATAAATAATCATTGGGAAGATAACACTTGAAATTATAAATTATAAATAAATAATTTCCTTAGAAATTGGAGTGCCAAAAACCCTATTATAAAATATTATCAAAAACTTATAATTGCTCGTAAAGGACAAAATTGAAAACGGATTATGTTGTGACTTTGGAAATTGGAGAGAAGTTTCAAAAAATAAAGCAAATCTATTGCACGCAACAGCAGATGACTCTTTCTTTTTTGTTTGTGCATTCTCCGTTATCATTTCGACGTGGCGGTCGGGGCAAAATGAAGGCATTGCCTCCAAACCAAAAATAATAAAATAAAAGAGTATTTTCTATCGTTTATAATCTTGAGGTAGCGCATTAATTTCCTGTACAAGATTTTGGAGCTAACTACAATTTTTTATGCTAAAACCGAGAGAGATTTTGGAAACACTTGACCCAGCCAAGTTCCGGCAGTACGACAATTTTTTTCTTTTAAAGATTTGTAATTTGATAATTTTAAATTCAAAATATTAAATTATATAATTTAAATATTAAAATATTGAGAATTGAATAAATGTTATTCAAATTATCTAATTTTGTTATTTCTAATTATTAATTATCAGTTGATTATTATTTTTTAATTAAATTCTAAAAAATTAAAAAAAAAAAAAACAAGACGATATGTCTGAAATTATCAAATTGTAATATGTTTTTTTAAAAAAAAAATGCCGCAATACCGCCGAATTCCAAGCACCTTCTTCTTTTTCCTTGGAGCCGACCTTCACGCTGGGCGCTGAGATGAATGTTGGCGTATTGGACCCATGGACCACATTTGCACGGGCCAAGATCTTTATATATATATATATATATATATATATTTGAATTAGTTTTGGTATTAATTAAAATTAAATTGTCATTCTCAAAAATAAACCAGCGCCAAATGTTTTTTAATTTTTGATTAATTAACAAATTATTTTTAGGTCAAATCAGTCTAAATCTCATATTATTAAGAAATAATTGACTACTATTAACGAATATATTTATAGTTAACTCTATAAATCATAATGGTTAGGTTTACTCAAAAGAATAATACTGAAGTTATGTTTTTTAAATTATTCAAAAGAAATTTTTTTTTCACAACTTTGATGACATCTTTAATGATAAAACCAAAAATTATTAATTGCTTAAGTTGAATCACTTTCAATAATATGAGTTTTAAATAGGTGTACGGATAATCATTTAGTGTATATAGTTGCATCAAAGTTTAACAACCATCAACGAAAGAGATTGGCTATCTTTAATTCATATTCAATTTATAACTTATTGAAAATCATTTAATATTTAAAAAAATCATACAAAATTATGGCGAAATGATATTGAGATTTTTTTTTAAATTTGAGCAATACAAATTATCTATATGGGCACAAAAAAATATAAAAATTACACTTATTATGAACTAAATTTAAAAATTTTAATTCCAATAAGTGGTTGTAAAATTAATCACACAAATTAGGGGTACATGACAAAGCATTGGCAAGTCACATGTTTTGCCTAAAGTTACCAAATCTGAATCATTGGTCAAAAAATAGATCATAAATGAAAGATGTTTTGATACATTCATGTTGATTTTTCTAATGTTAATGAGACATGCATATTTTTTATTTTTTAGATTTAAATATTGGAGCTGATATAAGAAAAAAATTATTAAATTCTTTTTAATACATTAGGTGGATGTGGAGGATATATTTTTAAAATCATTAAAAAAAATTAGTATCGATTGATATTTAAAATGATAGGAGAATTTTTTAATAAAAAACAATAATGTGTTTTTTTTTTAATATATAAAAAAATGATAGTGTAGCACGATGATTCTATGCTATATGATGGGATTGAACAACCCAAAGTCCCATAGTTATTATCAAAAGAAAACAAAAAAGAATTCATTGGTAAGTAAGGCTGTCGAGCGTCGTTTTTATTTAATGTTTTTAGCTTTATAAAATTACGTTAAAAAAAAACCTAAGGATTGAACTTTCAAGACATAAAGAAATGGAAAGATTCGACACTTAGCTTTACACAACACAACAATGTTAAATCGTACTACTAATTTTGTAGGATTAGCAGTAAAAATATTCTTGGATTAATTTTTATATATTTTAAAATTAATATTTTTTAAAATGTAATTAGGAGATATTTTTTAATCTATAATTTTGAATATTTTGAGAATAAATTTTTAAAAATAGTAATCATAAAAATCAAACTCCAACTTTAATTTATAAATCGATACTTATTTACCAACAGATTATTATCTTATGATTTTAAATCTTACAACTAATTGAATGCCAAAGATATTACATAAAACATCAATTTTTAATTGTCACTTTTACTTTTATTTTTTATTCTCATAAATAAAATCATGTTTTCATAAAATTAAAAATAATAACATTTTTCCTACAATATTTATGTATGGTGTGTGATTGATTGATTTCTCCATTAATCCATGTCGAATTCACAAGAAAAACTAATGCAGAAAAACTTTTATTTTTTTAATAAAACTTAAATTACTATTGATTTTTTTTATAATTTGATTTAAGGAATATTCAGAATAACTTGCATTTTGATTGAAATTAATTTTTTAAAATGATTTTAAAAATATATTTATATATGCGAGGAAATAAATTAGAGAAAAGTGGTCTCATGTATGTAAAAAATGAGAACAATCTCTTACGATAATTCCTCTTAATTTCCCTTCGAATTCAAACATTTGAAACCTAAATAATTTTCTCACACAAAACCCATGATTAAACCTCACTTTGCTTTTTTTCTACTCTTTCCCTTCTCTCTCTCTCTCTCTCTCTCTCTCTATCTACCTTCTTTTAAAAACCATATCTCGGTGAAGCTTCTCTTCTTTTCCTTTGACCCTCTCTCTCTCTCCCTCCAAGAGCAACAAAGAAACGAACAACAAGGAGAGAGAGGTACTAAAAATCTCTCTCAGATCTCTATATTTTGGAAAACCCCAAATTTTAAATTTTGAAAAATGAGCCAGAAATCACTGATCTACGCATTTGTTTCACGAGGAACGGTGATTCTTGCTGAGTTCACCGAATTCAGTGGGAATTTCAATTCCATAGCCTTTCAATGTCTCCAGAAACTTCCTGCTACTAACAACAAGTTTACTTACAACTGCGATGGTCACACTTTCAATTACCTCGTTGATAATGGCTTTAGTAAGTGTTTTTTATTTGTGGGTTTTGTTTAGTTTTGAGGTTTTGATGTTTTTAATGAATTTTGTGTTCTGGGTTTTCTGTTTTGTTATCTGGGTTATCTTTATTTTTTGCTAAAAGAGATTTATCAACTGGATTTGTTCAGTTTTTGTAGATTTTGTTAAGGGAGGTGTAGTGGATGAGACATGAATTGGATCTGTTTAGTTCTCTTGAAACTGTTGTTAGATTATAGAGAGAGTTTGTATTTTTGGGTATCGGAAACTGTCTTGTTAATGTAAAACCTAAGAATTCTAATGGTGTTAAATAGCATATGAAAGTAGTTTAAGGATTCCAACTGACTTTGCCTTAATGCGAGGTGCATTGTACCAACTGGGTTTCTTTATATTGATGCTTTTGTGTTTGTGGTTTGGTGCTGGATGCTTTGATGTTGAAGATTGACTTGAGTGTTTTTGTTGTTACAGCTTATTGTGTGGTTGCCGATGAATCTGCTGGAAGACAAGTGCCTATAGCTTTTCTGGAGCGTGTTAAAGATGATTTTGTGTCAAAATATGCCGCTGGAAAGGCTGCTACAGCCCAGGCCAACGGTCTTAACAAGGAATTTGGGTGGGTATTCCAGTTGGCTTAAGACTGTTGAGAGACAAGCGTGGAAATTTGTTTTGTGTATTTTGTTGATAATGGATTTGAACTGTTAACTTGTTGCAGGCCAAAATTGAAGGAACATATGCAATATTGTGCTGATCATCCTGAAGAGATAAGCAAGCTTTCCAAAGTGAAAGCTCAGGTTTCAGAAGTTAAAGGTGTCATGATGGAGAACATTGAGAAGGTAGCAAGCTTTTGCCCACCTGAATCGCAATATTACATTTTTCGAATTATTTTTTCTTTTGATACTTGATTGAAAGAAGGCATTTCTGTTGAATCATTAGTGCTAGAATGTTAAAGTGTTTAAAAGTTCATGTGTGCACCTGTTCAAGTTTATGTGTGTGTGTGTGTGCTTATGGGTGTGTGTTTTGTCTCTGAGTGTTAGTGTGTTCATGTTTATGGCAAGATTGTTATTTTCATATTATTTTTCTTATAATAATTTGGTTTAAAGCAGGTATAAGTTTTACCATTGTATCATTAGGTTTTACCAAAATGTTCAAAAAAAGTTCCCATATATGTCATATATGTAGATTCGCTCAGGTGTACTTGTCTACAGGGCCTTATGAGTTTGTGGACATATGTTACCGAGCTTTGGTTCATTGAGGTTTATGTTTAAGCAGGACGGCATTCTCCCATTCTTTGGTGCACAAGTAACTTTATTCACTGGATTGAGTTTTCGGCACCAGTTTATTTGTATGCTTTACCTCCAAAGTAGTTGAACTTCTAAGTTCATTATGTTCATTAGTCTAGACTATAGAGGGACACTTTTGTCTATTTATATGCGTTTTTAATGATTGGGGGTTATGAAATTTGGGCTGCCCCTATTTGGAATTGATGTGTTATCTTCATTTACTGCTGATTGAGGTGCGCTTGATTCCTGTAACACGTGGTGTGTGCAAGGCTTGAATAAAGAGATCTATTTTCTGTATTGATGTAGGTTTTGGATAGGGGAGAAAATAGAACTTCTTGTGGACAAGACTGAGAACCTTCATCAGCAGGTCAGTGATTTTCTCTCTCTCCTTTATGGCATTTTTTTAAGGAGCAGGGGACAGTTTTAGAAAGTTTTGCTAGTCCTATACTTAATGTTTTGGAAGAACGGAGGGTTTGCTTGAAGGAAATTCTGTAATCTTACAAATGAACTTTACTTCATTGGTAGTTGTTATACCTGTTTGACGACAATCATATCATATTAAAGTCACACCATCTTAACATGTTTTCGACAGAAGCTCCAGAGGCATTTTTAATTTTCATAGTTTCAAAAAGATACTAATTCCTTTTCATGTGGAAATGGTAATTGTAGGCACAAGACTTTCGCAGTCAAGGCACACAAATCCGGAGAAAAATGTGGCTGCAGAACATGAAGGCTAAGCTGATTGTATTGGGAATACTGATTGTCTTGATCCTCATCATAGTCCTGTCTGTTTGCAAGGGCTTCAACTGTGGAAAGTGAGAGCTGCTCCTTGAAGGCTTGATAATACTGTTTTTAGAGCTTTTGCCGAGTTACAAAAGCAAAAATACTGAATATATTGTTATGACCGTGTGTGTAGGCTGCAGCTAGCGATTTATTTGATATATATTTTCCAAGAACTTAATTTTGAATGTGAATGAAACCCTCTATGTTGTTGTCATGTCATTGCTACGTTTCTAGATTGATAGATAAAAAGTTGGATTGCCTCCAAGCTTGGTCTAAAATGTGATACTCGTAAATGATGAGTTTTCTTGTTGCCGTTGCCGCTTTCTCGAGCAAGCATGATCTCTTGCATACGAACTTGTTTGTTGAGCAAAATAGATGCTTCATATTAGAGTTTTGTTTGGCACTTGTTCGAATTCTTGTAATTCCATAATAAGTTTCATGATTTTCATTAATGATGTTTACGTTGTTAATAACCATCATTAAAGTCGGTTTGAAGTCTTGAACCCTGTAAATCAACCATCGACAAGCAAAATATCATTCATTGCTCTCGCAAAAAAACCTCAACATCCCTCTTTGTGTCCGAGAAAAGGAACAAAAATCAAAATAGAAAGCTATTCTACAAATTCATCATATAAACAACAAATTTTAAGCAAGAGCACAGAGTCTTGAAATTAAGTATGGTTGCAATAATTTTGCTATATAGTAACAGGAATACATCGCTTAAACCAAACAATCTTGGCAGGTTTAATGGTTACGATAAGTGGTGATCCAAAAATTTTCAATTTTCCGAGAGAACCAGAGTTCAAATCCAGCCACCCACAGATCACAAAAAGGAATTTAAAATCCCTCCCTTTTGTGCCTTTCCCACCTCCCCAATCTTAAACCTCAACCTCCCTCTCTCCACCGCCAAATCACCACCACCACCACCATCACTTCCTTTCTCATTCTCCTGGAATTCATTTCCATTTCCAGCACTCACCAAATCAGACCTCTCCCACAAGACCAAGTCCCCCGTCCTCCTCTTTTCCCAGCTGTCCCCACACGTCTTGTAACTACTCTCATCAGGAAACCTCGGCAACCACCTAGGAATATGCAAACCTGTGGAATCCAATTCATCTAATTCCAAAGGAATTGAATTCCTTCTCAGAGAAATCGAATTCCCTCTTGGAATAGGCTTGGCAAAAGGGATTTCATCACTGAAAGCGACGAAGGATTTAATATCTTTTAACACGCCAGACCTTAAAAGGCTCATGCCACTACTACGATGCAGAGTTGATCCTCCCGGGAAACCTTGTACAGACGACATGTCATGTAATGAGTTGATGATGTCAAAGATGTTTGATTGAGTACGGTTAGATGCATTGGAATACGATACAGCTGTTTTGCCTAGTGTTTGGAGGTAAAGGGTGGCTACGTGAGTTAGGGTTTCAAGAGCTGAGAGTTGTATGGACTTAAACCCTACTGATTGGCAGATTTGCGAGACTGCTGTTCTTGTTATTTTGAAGCCATAATCTGATGGGTTTTTTGCTGCTGGTGGTAGTTTCTGGAAGTGGGTTTTGTTGGGTTTTTTTGGGGTTTTGGTTTCATGGGTGATCATGGAGGAGAAAGAAGAGGGGAGGTTGAGGCTGGCGGTGGTGGACAGGGAGGAGGATTCTTTAAAACCCTAACTATTGGTGGTTGGGTTTTAAGTGGGGTTGGGTTGGTTATTTAATTAATGCTCGAATTTTGTGCTTGAGAAGAAGATTTGAACCCTAGTGTTGCTCTCAATTTTTCGATCGCCATTCCTAACTGCCACCACACCACGAATACTGTTTTTAACAATTTTTTGTGATATAAAATTGTTTAATGGGAATTAACTGATTAAGAATTAACATTAGAAAAGAAGTGGGGAAAAAGGGAGAGAGAAGGTTAACCTTTGAATGGTAATTAACTTTTAAGGAAAGAAAATGATAAATTAAATTATAATTTGACCCGAACAATATAGAACATCTAATTGGTGGATACGAAAGATGGTTCAGAACTTCACATTGTTTTGGGCCATTTGATTGGTAAAATATTTGTACGACCAAACTTTCTTTATTTTTAACAGTTTGTGAGTGCATCTGCCGACTCTAATCTATGGAAACTTTTTTCATAAGGTGAGCATTTGTAGATTTATTTGTACATTAATCGAGATCATTAAAAAAATAAATAAATAAAGATTTTAAGAATGCATCTCATACATTTATCTGATTTATTTTATAATTTTTTTTTAGTTGAGGACTAAGCAAGGTAATTTATTTTTGAATTAATGAATTTTGAAGTTGTTATTATGATTTATTGATTAATTATCTAATTAGTTTTTCTGACTATTTTTTCGGATTAAAAATTCATATGTAGGTCACGTGACCAAAAATTATTTTCGAAATGCCTTGAACTGAAAAGCCGAAAAAAAAAAAAGCAACTCTCTAATACTTTACATTTCAAATTATTTCTATTATGTTACCGTATGATATCAAATTCTCGACCATGCCATTCAATCAACTTTCTCTATTCAAATTGGTAAAATTATATTTTTTATTTTAAAATTATTCTTGAGTTATACGAGCATATAATTTTTATGTTTCAAAAAAAAAAATCTTTATTTTTAAAAATTTTAATGGTTTAATAAATTTGAAACTTCTTATTTCTTAAAATATTTTGAGTAATTTTGATAATGTTTTATTATATCCTTATATAGTTCAAGGCCATTTCCAAAATGAAAAATATAATTATGTTAATTTGAAACGCAATATATTTTTTTCAAAAAAATAATAATAAATAAACTTATATGCTTTTATAGTTATATTGACATAATTTATGTCATTTTGACAAGTTTTTCCATCCAAATTGATAAAATTATTTTTATTTTAAAATTATTCTCAAGTTATTCAAGCATATAATTTTAAATTTTCAAAAAAAATTAATTAAAATCTTTATTTTTAAAATTTTAATGTTTTATTAATTTTAAAAAGTCTTATTTCTCATAACATTTTGGGCAATTTTAAGAAATAATTCTATTATATCCTTATATAGTTCAAGGGTATTTTCAAAATGAGAAAAAATAATTATGTAAATTTGGATTAAAATATAATTATCTTTTTCAAAAGATTAAAACTATATGCTTATATAGCTGTATTGACATAATTTTGTCCTTCAATCAAGTTTTTTGTTTTATCCAAATAAATAAAATTAGTTTTTTAATTCTATTGTCCGTGAGCTATTCAAGCATATGATTTTAATTTTAAATTAAAAAATTAAAATCTTTATTTTTTTTTAAGTTGTAATAGTTTAGTAATATTGAACCTTCTTATTTCCTAAAACATTTTGAGCAATTTTAAGAAAGTTTTTTATCATATCTTTATATAGCAAAAAGGACAATTTTATAATGAAAAGTATAATTTTGTCAATTTGGATGAAAAACTTGATTGAAAGACATATTAGAGGATTGTATATTATACAAAACATGACAAACAAAATCAGAAAGAGATATATTAGAGTTTTTTTTTTTTAATCAGAAGTATTTCGAAAATAAACTTTAGTCATATAACCTACATATGAGTTGTTGATTTAAAAAAAATGATCAGAAATCTAATTGAATAATTAAATATTACTACGAAACATAATATAACAATTAAAAACGCAAAGATAGATTGAAAATGTATCTATTATATAAAGATATATTAAGTTATTTACTCCAAAACCTAATTCGAGAAGTTTTTTTTTTTTAAAAAAAAAACAAAGATCAAAGCTATTCTTTTAAACTTTGAAAACAGAACACACTAACAATCATAAATTGTTGATTCCTATTTACTGAATATTGTTAACCATCTGATTATAGGTCCAGAAGCCAGATTCAAATCATCAGCCAGATGGTCCATATTGTGGGAGGCATTTATTTGACGAGAAAGTCCTGATAATTTTAGCACTGTTTTTCAAGGAAACAATTAGATTATTTTGTGTTTTCCTTCGATTTTTTGTTTCACTGAGACCTTTTGGAACATAGCTTCAGAATCCTCTAGTAAGGAGGGGAAATGGAAAGAAAGAAGGATGGGAAGACGAAAATACATTTTTCGAAGTTTTTTTTTAATTGTTGCTGAAGATGAGTGAAAAGTGGAGGAAGGAATTGAAAAGAAAATCTTCTCTCGTCACCCATCATTCTCGAGCTTTCCAACTTGAAGAATAAGTGAATACAAAATCCGTAAATCACTATTTGTACTATTGATACATGGAATAAATTATAAATTAGTCTTTTTAGTTTCGATAAATGAATTAACTTATTTTCCTTGTTTTAAAAATTAATTATTTAATTTTTTTTGTAACTCAATCGTTTTCTTTCCTATTTTACGAAATATAAAAACATAGAAAAAGTAAAACATATGGAATGATTGATGAGAAAATATAATATATTTTTAATAAAAGAGACTAATTAATTTATTTCTCCAAAATAAAAGGACTAATTTATAATTTATTCTTGATCTATGATATATTTATTTCAAGGCAAAAGTATAAATAGTATTTTTGTCTTTTCTTCCAACTCTTTATTTTTAGGATAAATTACAATAATTCTATGAAATTACAATGATCACTTAAAAATATAAAGATATTACAAAAAATCTATTTTATGTAAAAATAACTTTAAAATAATAAGGATATTTTAGATGCAAAATGTAGTTTTTTTTTAATATTTACTTAAACATAAGAGGGTTTTTGTCAAATTTTTAGATAATTTATCTAATTTTATAATACTTATTACTTTTTTTCCGATAATTTACCCTAATTTTTAAATACAAACAACTTAGTTTTTTTATTTACTTTCCCTCCTATTTCCACCCCATCTTAAATAAATAAATAAATAATAGTCAATCTATTTCCTTTACTTTCTCTCCTCCTATTTTATTTCCCCTCACTTTGAGATGATGCTACATAAATCTCTATATATGCTCAATTTATTCATAAAATTAATTAAGAATTTAGTTAATTTTATTATGTAGTATTCATGTTATTTTTTGACATGAGTCCAAGCTACACAACAATAGATTGAGCCGATGACAAGTCTCGTCCAACATAAAGTTTTAGATCGCGACAAGATAGACATAAATATTCGACAAGACCGATATCTATGTCTTATCATTGAGATGCATTGGAGAGATTGGCTTATGGATTTAGTATAGGGTTTGCTAAAAGAAAGCTAAATTGTTACTATCTTTAACTTTTAATAGCAAGTTGAAATAGCTCAACTAAGAGGAACTCAACTTTGTTCAATTTTAATATGATCGTTTAAACATGGATGACGTTGCATGATCTTAATGGTCAAAGATCATGTTCAATTCACTATAAATATAAACCTCACATCATTACGAGGGGATTGAAACTTTTTTATCTTTATCAAAAACTTCTATATTCTCTTTCTCAAAACTCTTTCACTCACTTTTAGTGCTAAAGTTTCATCACCGGGTCTTTAAAATCCTCTAAGAAAACAATGATGCATTTGGCCAAGCCCTTAGCAACGTCACCCAACTACTTTTTGCAGGTGGACTCCTCTAGACTACTATCCCTCAAACTATAATGTCATCAACTATTAATGTAGAAGATGATCCAATGCATTGTTTAACCGAATGATAAAGAAGACACCTCTCCCCTCCAAATACTCATAGTCCGAATGTACATAACCACCAATCGCTTCATCATGCTACTACTTCTAATGATCAACGACACTATGTTACTAAGAAAGACTTAGAGAAGTTATTCAAAAAATATTTGGCAATATCTATTGGCGAGTTTGATTTCAAACTACCTTATCCAACCTATATTTCCTATAAGTTTTATTTGAAGGACTATGTACGTCCGAAGTTTAAATTTTTTATTGAAAAATAAGAAGACGCAAAGTAGCATCTCATGAAGTTTGTGGAGACCTTGGGGTGTTTATGGTTTATATGATGATTTGAAACTAAAAGAATTTTCCAAGTCCTTGATTGAAAAAGCATACACTTGGTATACAAACCCGATCCCTAACTCTATCTATTGAGAAAATTTTCTCTACCAGGTGATTATGTCTTACTTGGAGAGAAAATGTTAAAGTTCTAAAGAAGTTTTGGTGGAATACTTTGAATGATTCGAGATACCATTCATTGGACTTCTAAAAGGTTTTTGATGAGAAAAAAGCTATCAAGTTATGTATCCAAGATGTATAGAAAGCACATAATGCATCTTGAGAATTTATGCTTGACCATTTTTTCTACCTTGGTAGAAAGCCTACACCAAACCAACAACTTCATTGTCTTTTTTAGCAGGGAATGACTTCAACCCTACTATTACTAGTACCAAGAGGAGTCTTTTAGAAAATGTCATCCACCTAGACGAGGATCTAATAGAAGAACAAATAAACGATTGCTTGAGCCACCATTTTGAGAAATGAACCCCACCCACCACCATCTTTTTCTTGTATTATGGACATGGTCTATGCTTCGTTAGACCTTTAGGTGTTGACCAAGTTGTTATTCTTCTATGGTTAAAGAACTCCCATCCTAAGAAGACAAGAAAAGCCTCAAGTATTATCGGTATCATAGATACATAAGAAATTTAACAAAAAAACGATTCCAACTTGAGTTTTTATTTCATACCAAGCTAAATAAGGGAGAGATCACCTTTGACAATGAAGATAATGTGAAAAAAAACCCTACCACAATACCAAAATTTTCATAATGGCTAAGTGAATGTCATTTCTCTTGACCTAGCTAAGTTGGGGATTACTAGATTGTTCCTAACCATACTATATGCTATGCAAATTTTTGTTAAGGACTCAAAATTTTTGCTACTAAACTTATTCTCTACTTTCGTAATTCTTGAGTATTTATAAAATGAATAAGTTCTATCAAAAAATAGTTTTGTCTTATAGTTTAATCTTTATGATTTTTTTTTTAAAATCTATGCACTTGGCATTTCAAAAATAAAAGGAATGAGTGCAAAGGAAAACAAGTGTCATACTCTCAAAATTTGTTAAGAGACATATCGATTTAGCTAAGCTATGAGCTTTTCATGCTTAGTTTTTCGTTGAGATGATAATGATATGTCCATTGTGGACAAGCCGTACACCGGCTAGAGTTGTGAGCTTTTTATACTCAATTTTTTCTTCCTAATGACAACACTATGTCCATTCTAGCCAAGTTGCGTGCCGACTAGGTCTTGAGCTTTTCATGCTTAGTTTTTTTTTTTTTTTTTTGCTAATAGAAATAATATGTCCATCCGACTAATCTACAAGTTGGATAGACCGTGAGCTTTTTGTGCTTTTTTTCTTCCTAAAGGCAACTCCATGTCTAAGTTGCACATTGGCCGGACCATGAGTTTTTCATGTTTGGTTTTTTCTAATGGCAACAACATGTCCATCTGGTTAGGTCTGTAGGTTATAGAGAATATAAGGTTTTCATGTTTAGTTTTTCTTCTTAATGGCAACTCTATGTGCATTCTAGCCAAGCTATGCGTTAATTAGGCCACAAGCTTTTTATGCTTAGTATTTTTCTTTCTAATGGTAACATCATGTCCATATGGTTAAGTTACATGTTGGCTAGATTGTGTTTTTCATGCCCAGCTTTTCTTCTTGATGGAAACACTATGTTCAATTGGTCAAGTTATGCGTTGGTCAAACCACAAGCTTTTTATGCTCATTTTTGCTTCCTAATGGAAATGTCATAACATTTGGCCAAATTGTGCGTTGGCTAGAACCTTTTATGTTAAGTTTTTTTCTTGATGACAATCCATGTCCATATGGCCAAGTGGTGCGTTAGCTAGGCCGTGAGCTTTTTATGCTTAATTTTTCTTTCCGGCTATGTCTATCCGATCAAGTTACATGCTTGTCAAGCCATGAGCTTTTTATGCTCAATTTTTTTTTTAATGACAACGTCATATCCATTTAGTAAAACCGCACGCTGGCCAAACCATGAGTTCTTCCTTCTTATTTTTCTTTCGATGGTAACTCCATAATCATTTAGTTAAGCTATGAGCTTTTCAATCTCGGATTGTCTTTCCGATGACAATATTATATCTATCTCGGTTAAGTCGCATATTAATCACATCGTAAGTATAAAAATTATTCACAATACAAGATCGAAAAATCCAATCTTATCACTATCAGTTGAGTATTTAAGAAAAATTCCCACAATCACCCTACTAGAAGGCCTAATTTTTACTTTATTTAATCTTTGCTATCAAATTAAAATAGTTTAGTCCAAAAAAATTATTTTTTTTCAATTTAAATAGGACCGTCCAAATATAGATGACGTAACATAATCTAACGATCAAAAATCAATTTTAAGTCATTCCTTACTTTATTGTGAGGGGATTGAAATTTTTTTACCTCTCGTAAAAACCTTTAAAATCTCACTCTTAAAACCCTCTCAATCGCATATTAAACACCACTAAAACTCTATTTATTTGAAATTTGACCACCATATGTAACATGTCTGTTATTCTGGCTTATGATTTTGCTAGCATTATTTATTCTTCGTCCAACACCTCTCATTACTTGTATTTATTTTTTTTATTGGTTAACCGATATTTTTACATGCAATAATATTAATTTTCTGAATTTTGACTGATAGGCTTACCAGCAGTTTAATATGTTATCAAGAACCCACACAATCTCCTATTTAGCAATCTCTCTTCTTCTTCTTCTTCTTCTTCTTCTTTTTTTCTTTTTTTTTAAAATCAACTAGAACTATCTTCGTCATCACATCAAAAACCACTTTTCCTGCACCTTTAGTATCACCATGTCCACGCCATCACTTCCCTGCCAAAGCCAGCACCATTACCCACAATCACCCTGCTGCCATCACTTTCCCTGTCTACTATCACCATTATCTCCCAATGCCATTCATTTCACTGCCAAGGTCAATCAATGATCTGCATCCCACTAACGCACCATTTTCACCACTATCATCAATTTTTTTCTTTTCGATTCATCAAGTTGTTTTGGTGGACCATATAGCAATGAAACATGGCCCCTTTCTGATGTTTGTGTACATATTTAGCTTTACCTAAATATTTTTGGCCCATGAGTGGCCATGGCTCCTTCCTGTCCTACGGGTCTATGCCTTTTAACCGTTTCAACCGTCTCTCTCAAGCTCTCGAACCTTCTGCTATGTCAAACCTTATATGGTGAGAGCCTTTCGCTGACCTTCTTACTTCTCACTGACCTCCGAAAATTATTGTCCCTCTTGAAAGGAAGGGAGAAGCAAGAAATCAAGAGAGGCAACTTAGAATGGTGTCTCAAGAATTGACTGTTAAAGTCTGACAAATGGAAAGTTAGCATTTCGGATTTTGCAACTTAGCTTCGAAGAGAATTTGGTTAGTTCTATCGATTCCCTTTATATTTTCTACTTTCGCTCTTTTGGATTCATCAAGTTGCGTTTGCAAATATTGAAGATAAATTTGTGGTATTGTGTGATAAAAACATATGGACCACTTGCTTTGATGATTGACTGTCCAGTTTCAGCCATCTAGACATGTGAAATTTGTGTTAAACAATTATAGTTGTCACTTGTCGAAGCATTTTTCTGATTTTCTCAAAACAAATGCCGAAAATAATACGAATCAATGATGGGTTTGCTTCATTCTTGTTGGAAATGCACTATGGTAAAAAAGATCAGATCTTTTCTCTGTTAGAGTTGCCAAAATCACTAGAGGTTGTCGCTACTTTTTCTCCCAGGCAGAAATGGTCAATGTTCTTGTAGTCATATCAATTAACGTGACTATCTAAAGCTCTATTATAACGTTTATGCTATATTTTAGATATTTTTGATGTACTAGAAATTCAGATTTTTTTGTTCTTGAACTTGTCAGTTCATATCCTGGGGTCATTTCCATGAACTTTAAAGGAGAGATTATGGGAAAACATATGATAATTAAAAAGTTTTCCTTTGTAAAATGCAAATAGGTCTCCTATGATTATCTTTTCATCTTACCATTTTAATGAGGAGAGGGGGCTGAAATGGTTTAAGTTTGTCATTAATGGTCGATCCCCTTGTCTATGAAGCATAGTTTCTAGAAAGAAAGATATCTTATGAAAGTGAAGACTAATTATCCAAGGCCACAACGATATTTTTTAACACAAGTCAAGCATGTGATTGATGCTTTTTTCTTTCCCCATCCGTTTTGAGAAGCAATGAATAGGTGATTGAATCACCATTTAATTGAGATAGGCACTCCTTGTAAGGTTACTGAATCAGATTAAGTAAAAGATAACAGAAACAGAGTTCAAAAGAATCTGATTGCATCAAGTCAAAGTATTTGTCTTTCTATTGACTAAATCCATGAACCTTAAAGAGAGTACAAGAAGATGTGAAAAAATTAACATGAATACTCTTGTAGACGGCTAAGAAGGGAAGCATATCATTGCTTGGAGGACTTGCTGATGAAATTTACAAAATCAAGATGGAGTTGATAAGCATGAGATCCTTTCTGGAGATGCTGATAGAAATGATTTCCTCACCGAGGGAGAGAAAACCTCGGTAGAAAATGTAAGAAGCATGGCCTATGATGTTGATGACGTTAACGTCAACTTCATGTATCACAAGAATAGGAACAAAATTTGGGTAAGCACACTAGGCTTTTGAATCAAACAATTAACATTCCGAATAATATCTTTGTGAGGCATCAAATTGCAGCATCCTTAAAAAGGAGTAATATTATGATTAAATTCATTCTAGAGACAGCAAAGAGATATGGTGTTGATTGTTTGGAAGGAACCACTTCACATTATGATACCAGATGATGAAAAATCATGGCGAGTCTTGTCTTTTCATCAAAGATGATAATCTTGTTGGGATTGAAAAGGTAAAAGGGAACTGTTTGGGTACCTGCTAAAAGGAGAAGCATGATGAACTGTTAGTTAGTCGGCATGGGTGTTTACAATTGTAGTTGCTACTACCTGCAACAGCCAAGTTGTTAGGTGACGTTTTGACAGCTATTCTTGGATCACTGTCTCCCAAAGTCATGTTATTAAAGATGTATTTAGAGTCGTGATATGAGACTTGTTTAAAGCAATAAAGGAGGAAGTTCCAATGAATTTGAGCCCCATGATTTACAAACAATTAGTGGAGATGCTGGTGAACTTCTTACATCCAAGAAAATATGTGATTGTCCTAGATGATGCATGGAGTATAGATCTCTGTGGTGAAATAAATGTTGCTCTTGCTAATGGTATGAATGGAAGAAGAGTTTTGCTCTCAACTTGAAAGAAGATGTAGCTTCCTTTTCATTTGGGGCTAGAAGCCATATTCATCAGCTTCTGCCCCTTGAAAATTATGAGGCTTGGGCGTTGTTTTGTATGAAAAGATTTCTCAAGCAACAAGGGATGTTGCCCACAAGAATTTTAACTTTTAGCAAGGAATCTTGTTGAAAAATGTACAGGTTTACCTCTAGTAATTGTGGCTTTGGCTGTTCGTATGTCTACCAAGAAGTTAGAGTTTGAGTGGGGGGATGTCCATAATAGCTTGAATGTAGAGCTGAGTGACAATCCTAAGCTTGGATTCCTAGAGTATATTTATGCTGAGCTTTAATGAATTGCCCTGTCATCTAAGGAATTGCTTCTTATGTTGTTGTGTCTTTCCTGAAGAGCATATGATTCGACATAAGAGGCTCATTAGACTGCATTCTGAAGGGCTTGTTAAACCGGTGTGAGGAGCAACCTTAGAAGAAGTAGCTGAGGACTGTCTGATGGAACCCATTTGCAGGAGCATGCTTCAAGTAGTAGAGAGAAACCCATCAGGAAGAACAAAAGCTTGCAAGATGCACGATCTTATGCGGGAGCTAGCAATTTTACTATTACAATCTGAGAAGTTTTGTGATGTACATGATGGGAAAGAAGAAATTCAGCAGAACGGAGCTCGTTGATTGTCAGTCCAAGTCAAGGACAGAGAAAAACAATCTGGCAAGGGCATCTGAAACATTTGCTCTTTCTTTGTGTTTCCTGCAGATAAGACATCTAAACCTCTCTTAAATAAAGTGTTACATGGATTTAAATTATTAGGGGTGTTGGATCTAGAGAATCTGCAGATTGTTAAACTACCTAATTCAGTGGTCAATTTATTCAATTTAAGGTACTTGAACTTGACTGGAACTCAGGTCAAGTGGAGCAAATTCCCAATTGAATTGGAAAACTTTGTAAGTTAGAAACTTTGGGCATTGCTGAGCTGCAGTATTTATGGCATTTAGTTGCATACTGTCACTATCCTGGACATGGAACTGCCTTTTAATTATGCATTTGGTACACAGGGGCAGATATTTGTAAGCTGAAGAACTTACAAGTCCTGGCAGGTGTTGAGGGGTATGGAAACCTCATCAGACGACTCCGGGACATATCCTGACAAATGTGAGACAAGCAGATGAGAAAGACTTGTGTGTTGTGATTGACAACATGAAACTACTTCACCACTTGTTTCTGAAAGCTGATAATGAAGAGGAGCTATTAAGGATGGATTCGCTGTCCTCACCGCCTTGCCTTGAAAAGCTCAAACTAGTTGGAAAATGGGAAAAGGTGCCTTGTTGGTTTCCTTCTCTTCACTCCCTCCTGTTTTTGCTCCTTGTCATGGTCTAGATTAAGAGAAGAGCCACTGCCTTGCCCACAAGCACTGCCCAACTTAGCAAGGCTTATCCTCGTCAATGCCTATGTAGGCCAATGATTATGCTGTCTTGATGGGTTCCAGAAACTCAAGATCTTGAATACATACAACTGCCATCAACTAAATGAGATTGTTATAGAGAAGGGAGTGATGCCAGGTCTTCAAAGTTTGAGCCTTGGTAGATGTATGGAACTAAAGGCATTGCCTCATGATATTGAGTATCTTACTAGCCTTCAAGAATTTTCATTCTTAATTGTTAGAGAAGAGACCGTAGGGTGCATTTGTGGAGAAGGAAGTGTGGGTCACCGGAGGTTCAGCACATTCCCAATATCAGCCATTATTTCCAAACCCAATCTGGATTGTCTTTTGAAAGCCTTTCTTGATTGTACTACATAAAGGGGAGTTATGTATTCTACTATATGAACTATAATGCCAAATTCTTCTCCCTCACTCACACATAAATGAGGTATGCATCTACATGCACATACACACACTTTTCTTTGTTCTCATTACGACTTAACAGAAATCGGCATTGTTTGATTGTTTGTGATCTGTAACTGCTTCATGATTATGTTGATTAGCTATGGCATTGATCTTCAAAAGTGATATATAAAGATTGAACTGGTTGATTGTTTAGTTGATGAATGAATCATGGGATGGTATGATGTGTTTGCTGGTCCTAGAAAAGAACAAAAAGAACTTGAGCAAGTTGCCAAATCCTTTTTTTGGTTGCGAATTCATTTGGCATGCTTGATTTATTTTGTATCTTCATGTTTATGCTAACATGTCATAGACTTATTTTGAACCAGAACTTGGGAAAAAGTCAGTCAGATGCACCACAGGACTAGTTTACTCAAATGCCACTAATTGAAGGTCCTCAACAGCCGGAGAGCACCATTGTTGAACGCATCCACTTCATAGTCGCTCTAAAAATCAATTCAGGATGTGTAGTCTCAATGTTGTTGTGTAATAGGGCTTGTACCTGTTTCATAAACTCTTACTCCCAACTGAAACAATTAGCTGTTAATCCTTATATTTATGTGTATCCATATTGATCATAATAGATCAATGAATACAGATTCTATTAAAAATATTATGTTTTAAGGTCGGATGTATATATATGTCCAGTTTCTTTGTGGTTAAAATGATAGAATGCTGATCGTCAAGCTTAACTTCACATGCTTTATATTTGAGCATCATGAATGAGAGGCAAGTGCTGCATTGGGCTACAAATTTCTGCTAATCATCTTTTAGTGACTGGGCTTGGATTAACTGAAACTTGAGCAAAACCTGTCCAACATGAAAAATGGAACTCAAAACTTAAGTCTCCTCTTAGCTCTCCACTGCTCACCAACTGGGCCAAGTCTATTATTACAAGAAAACACCACTTAAGGTTGTTGGTATAGAGAGCAGCTGCTTCAAGCTCGTTTTGGACCACTCCAACTTTTTTATAATGGGGTATGGTAGTTCATCGAAGAGGAGATAAAAGAAGGGGGAAAAAGAAAAAACAGCTCAGCCCAAGATTCAGAATACATTAACTTACTTTTTTGTTACTGAGTAGGGAATGCCCTTATCCCTCCACCCAACTACAGCTATACCACCCTCAGGATTTCTGAGTTGCGTATTACTGAATTATGCTTTAATGGACTTCGATAAGGCTTTTCTCGAATTCTTTCCTAATGTAGACTTTTTAAGGTATGTTAATGAAGTCTTAGCCTTCTTCTCCTCGTCTGATTCAAACTTTCCTAAATTCACAAGGTGAATTAAAAATAACAGTTTCGATCACGTCACAGCATCATCATTAATTCACTTTCTTATGGTATCCAAAATAAAAAATAAAAAAATCTTGTACATAAAGTCTAGTAAAAGGGACTCTGCTGTCTGACTTGACCCAGAATTTCACCAACATGACTTGACTAAGTAAAAAGTAAATACTATTAGATCCAAGGTAAGGACTACAAGGGCTCGCTTTGACGAGTACATAAAGTTCTGAGGAGGTATCTAATATCTTCAGATCATCAAGTTTAATGGGCCATATTGTCTTCTATCTTTCTATTGCCCAACTCCAATTTTTCTGGGGTCTAAGTGGTTGTGTTTCATCCATATATTTTGGTCAAAATTTGTGAGCTTTCGTTCGCTTTCCTTTAGACGTGTTGAACCAAGGACAAGCCTACATTTATGCTCCAACATAAGTCTTCAAAATCATAAATCTAAGCTACATTGTTTTCACGCTGAAAAATCTTAGTCCACTACAGTATTTTTCAACTTCCAACACCTGAATAGATTCCTTTTTTTTTTAAATGAGACTAATTTTTCCACCCACGGGAACTAGTAGATGAACTCATTGACTGCTCAAAGTCTTAAATCCATGTTCAAGGACATGGGCTCAAACGCTTCTAAAAATACAGTATTAGACAATACAATGCATGTACTGTTTCCAAGCACATGTAAGGGTGCCCACTCTCTCACTGGCGCTAATAAAGACAGCCCCATAAGACAATTCATGTTGGGGCATCAAGACTTTAAGGTTTAAAAACTTCAAAAAGAAAGACATGACAATCTTTCTACCATAGATGGGACTTGGAAGTTGGGTCTGCACCAAGCACATCGCTTTGATGTTGCAATAATGTCCAAAACCCCATTAATGGGATGATAAAAGTCATGCAGGCTTGGCACATGGAATTATTGTCAGTGGGAAAAAAATTGTGACCTGTGCAATATATCTTTCAAACCTCAGACAGAAAAGTTGTTTGGTTCCTGTTGATTTCACTTTTCAATACTTTATCTACATTTGCTTTATATTCAACCATGAAATTCATGATGCCCTAGCTTTTCTTCTACTCCACTACGTCAAATGCCATTATCCCATCCCACTAATGAATCCATTAAACTACAGAACAACCCTCTTGATAGGTTGTCAAAATTCCTTGAGAGTATGATACACATCATGGAAGGTCATGACTCATCATCATTCCCTTACAGATTCACGAGTGGGACCTAAATTAGAAAGGCATAATGTGTTATGCAAGAAGAAAAGACAAGGCAATGTCAATTCTAGGTGATGGGCTAGAGTTGGTTTGTGCCCTAATCCACATTTAACACAACCCAAAAGTTATAGGGTACCTCACATCTTGGACCCCATAGAGCAGTACATAAGATCCAAAATTCACGCCTGGTTTTGCCTACCCTATCACCGTTGGAACCCCATTAATTCAAATGCATCAAAATCAATATGATATATATAGATCTCCATTGAAACGTACTTTTACATTATTTTTTGCCCTCTAGGCTCCGAGTCTTATCAGAGATATGCTAAGATTTCGGGACAGAAAGATGGCCAAGTTTGAGGGGAGAACAAGACAGAATTAAGTGGGCCTGTGCCTGTTTATCATTTCTCATGAAGGGTTGATGGTAGATAGTTAGCATCCCATGTGGGAACAGCTCATAGGTCGTTTTTCTGATAGTTTGTTTTCCTAATTTTTACTGCAAATTTAAGAACTGATTAAAGAAAAACAAACCCTCGCTATCTTGATGAAGAAATGAGAAATGGAGATATATTTGTGAAAACCGCTGCACATGACAATATTCCTTGTGATTTCATGACAGGAATTTATTTTTTTTTTGTTAGTTTTTGTTCTTTTTTTCGTTGTGGCCGGTGATATATAAAAATCAAAGCTTGTTATTAGGGTTTTTCGGTTAGCTACTTAAGCTTTTTTTCTTCCCTTCCACTATAATACTGTATTTTATCCTATAGATGTGTTTTGATCATCATGAAGCATTAATTACACAATTAAGTAGATTAATTAGACTATTCTTCTCTACTCATTGAATAAAACAAGCAGACCACTCTGGTTCTTATAATTTATTAAGAAAAATAGAGAGAAGAACTATGATAGAAACTTGAAGTCACATGTATACCTAATGTTTTTCCAGAATTGGAAGGCAAAATTCATACTTTAAAATGTCATGATGCCCATCTCGCAGCTAGAAAGGGACAAAGTTCCTAATTCAATGGTCCCACTTGCCAAGATCCTTGTATAATTATCAAAGGTTTCAGTGTACCTTCACAATCATTTGTTAATCTATTTGGAAAATTTTATATTCACTTATCCCTTAGATCTCCAGGTGGTTCACATTGATGGAAGCCTCCAAGAAGGGCAGCACCATGATTTTTATAACATTATTATCAATTATATCTGACTTCACCATAGTTCTTAATATATAATTGTAATGCTAAAGATGAGGAATGCCGGGACATGAAGACTGAATTCCATTAACCTTCTCTTTTTTTATGATTAAAAATTAAGCAATTCTAAAAATGTTCTTGAAAATGCAAGAGCTGCTGCATTACCTGCTCCTTAAGTTTCTCTCTGACAAAGAAACAAGAGTTCATCAACTACTCGAGTGCTTTCAAACATAAAATTTGATTAATTAAGTTGTCTGGGGATTTTTATTAAAGTAATCATGTGGATCAGTAAGTGACTTCTGCATCAAATGTCATTTTGTTCAACAATTAGGTGATTTGGTAAGCTAATCAGAATCCACCAACAGCATGGAGGTGCATGTGAATTGTGTACATGAAGAGTTACTCAGATTAATTATTACCAGTATCAGATATTATTTTGAATTCATCTGTAAGAAGGATTAACTTTAATTAAGTTGTGCAAGAGAAATTAATAAACTATGTGATTGACCGTAGTCTGCCGATGAGTTCGGTGATTAGTGCAAAACATTTTAGTTAATTTGCTTCTAGATCAAGAGGGAAAAGCAAACTCAATTTGCTTCTATATTCTTAATGATCATTAATCCTCCTAATTAAGGAAGAAACTACCAACAACAATTTTTGGAAAACATGCATCTAATTTCAGGGTCAATAATGCATCAAACTAGTACGTTAGGAATTTCTCCTAATTTTCTGATCTTGATGGTAATGGCATGCCGGCAAGAAACTTTCTTGATAGCTGACTGGAATTGAATTTCTTTATAAATTCCAACCGATCAAACCTGCAAACTTATCTTGCTATATATGTGGCATGGTGGCAACAGTGCCTAACTATGGAAGTGCTTGGGGTTTAACAACATACGGAGAAGTCTCTTTTCTAGCATACACAAGGAAGTTCCAAGGATTCTGAATCCTTTCAAGTAAATTTTGGAATGTAGTAGAAACAAAGCATGAAAAGAGAAGGTGATTTTCATTAGGTAGATACTGTCACCCAAACAAAACTTCAAGAAAGTTCTTCAAAACTGTCCAAGAAAATGGTGATTAATTCCTCTAACGTATTCTTCAATTATTTCCAATTCCTCTGATATATTCTTTAATTATTTCCAAACCTAACAGAAGTTAATCTCAAATAAAGTTGGGATTTCAGAACTAATTAATCATCTACCGGTAAATC